TCTTCGGATTGGACAAATCTCCAGTTTTAGGGAGAAGCACGGTTCGCCCCTCGATAAACCACTCAGGGATTTGCTGCTCCCCATTTAGCCAGCTATTGAATATACTGGCTAAATGGTGGTGGGTAGAGGGAAACTTTTTCCACCAGAAGTTATTGATCCCATCGGGACCAGGAGCAGCAAAGTTCTTGGAGCCTTTGAGGGCTTCTCGAACCTCCTCAGTGGTTATCGGTTGGCGCAGTAATTCGGGCTCGGGCTCTCGGTATCTCCCGCAGAAGGTACCGAACTGCGCCAGGGCTGGAGTATCTCTGTCGAATGGATGTCTCACCTCATAGATACTCTTCCAAAAGGTTTCCACCTGATCAGCAGTCGGCGGATTGTTCACCACACTTGGAGGCGGTTGAAATAAGCGAGAGGGCTTTTCACGGAATTGTTTATTTTCCGCCAGCCCTCTCGCTCGCCTCTTTAGTGACTGTTTTGCAGCCACTAACATCCGTGTCCTTTCGAGGCAGTGCTGTTTGATGGTGGATAGTACTGCCTCATTGAGTGTGTGATGGGTGCGACGCAATGTATTGGCCATCCGTCGCACCTTCGACGTGAATGGCCTGTTGGCCCTCACATAATCCATCACACACTGGATACGGGAAGTGTGTTGTCTCGCCGACTGGATCTTGGCTTCCATCTTTTGTACACGCCGATCGGCCCTCTCAGTCGGTGAGACCGTTTGTATAGGTCTCTCCGGTAGAGAGGACCGAACGACGTCATACACGGCACAGTTAATGTGCCAGATGTCAGCCCCTTCCGGAAGTGTGCCTCGAAGTAATTCATCCATCCTTGCAAGGTCTTGAGGCCGCAGGGCCTTAATGTTGAGTAGGCTCCTGCGGTTCCTGATCTCGTTCACCTCAGGAAGCACACGGTCCCTTCTCTCGTTGTCGGGCAGAATGGGTGGAGCTTGTTGTTCCTCCACACCATCTTCCTGCCGAGAAGGGACTCTCACGTATTGCCTAGCGCGTAGGTGAGATACATAATCTCGCAGATTTTGAGCAGTGAATGCTCCATGCTCTGGGTGTTGTTCAATCCACAGAGCATGCATCCGCCTCATGTATCCCCTACGCCCTGGATCGCTGCTCTCGAAGCACTGCAGAAGGTCGTCCCTCAGATCATCTGTCCACTCAAAGCGTCCATTTTCTTCGCGGTCGTTATCAGGCTGTCCGTCCTGTTGGGCCCCACCACCTTGCCTTTGACCCCTAATTATTATTATTATTATTATTATTATTATTATTATTATTGAAGGTATCTGAGGGCAAGTGTTCGACAGCTCAGGTATAAGATATGAGCGTATTCTGATATTGGACGGCAAATCATCTTGTATATTCTTGATGCGGATTTAACATCAATGTCCTGGTTTTTGTATGTATGTATATGTTATATATGTATATGTTATATCAGCTAATTTCACTGAATTTGTGCCTTCAACAATTAATGAACCAAGAATCATTATATTCTTCCTTGCCAAAACTAACAAAGTAGAAATTTTGAATAATAATTTCCTAAAAAATAGTTTTCATGTAGCTGGTTATGCAATATCAAATGTGATCAACACATAACTTAGAACAGGTGTGTTTCGTGATCAATTTAAGGTCTCCACTGTTGTTCCTGTATCGAAAAATAACTAACATTGAGTTGAAAATTTTAGGCCATTGAATATATTACCTACTCTGGTAGAAGTTATTGAACTATCTGCATATAACCAATTAATTCAGTACTTTGATACCAGGGCGAACCTGTTATAAAAATTAATGAAATTGACATTGAAAGTGTCACTGAACTGAAATATGTGGGTCTTATAATTGACAGAAACTTACTAAATAGTCATGCTGATTATTATTGTGAAAAAATATCTAAAAAACTCTTCTTTTTCTCTCGTATATGTGAGAAAACATCTATGTATGCTAGGTTGACTCCCTTTAAAAGTTTAATTCACCTCATTTTGATTATAGCTCAACATAACTTTTTCTACTAGGTAAAAATAAAATAGTACGATTAAAAAGTTTGAAAGTCGGGGTATGAGGTTGATATTGGGATGTAGCTGTTACACAGCAATTAAAACTGGTGCTAGTGTCTAAACTGGTACTCAGTTGAAGATCGTATATTATTTATGACTATGATCTTTATATTTATGCTGCAATAAGGAGTGTTAAATAGTTACTTCCATAAGTTCTAAGTTGAATTAATGAAGTTCATGACTACAATACGAGAAGATATACCAATTTTCACTTCAAAAAGCTAACAGAAAATTTGGAATGAATATCATGTTTCATGAAGGCTTAAATGATTTTAATATGCAACCACAATTTTAAGAAGAATCGAATACAGTAAGACAATTCAAGTCATCATTGAAGAAGTTTACCGGTGACAGCTCATTGTGATACTTACTAGTATTCATTCTTTCTTTTTTTTTTATGTGATCCAATGTATCAATCTATTGTTTTACGTATACTTTATTGTTTTCTCTTCAGATGTACTCACATGAGTTTCTCATATTTTTATATTCACATAGCTTAACAATGTTGTATGAGATATACATAGACTTCAATTCAATTGTTTGTATATTAAGCTTGCCTACTTAATAAAATATTATTATTGTCTACAGTTTATATTTACGTTGTCAGTTCGATATATTCATGATATAGGTAATCAACAACGACGCCAAGTTGTCTTCGGCTTCTGTTTATTTTATTCGTTAGCTATTCGCTAGCTATATTTTTCATCATCAGCTATATTCAGACTAGATTCAGAATGTAGGTCACAGTTTGTCGCCCCGGAAATTATAGTTATATTTTTAAAATAAAAACGACTTGGATTTTATCGATCGCCATTCTGTAAAGCGTGGACATGAAACTGAGGAGTTCCGAACTAATTTCATGAAATATCATCTGAAGGAAACTCCCTCATTATTTTGAACTAGTAGGAAACCTATTTTGTTTTAAAATAATGAAATTTGGTCGATTACGTTGCGGTTTTATTTTGACTAGTACTCATAAACGTGACAGTTTTTTTCTGAAAATGCATAGCTCAAAAGTTGAAAGGTTTAGGGCGAATGTTCATATAAACTTTTTTCCTATAATGAGCTAAGGAACCATACCCTATTATAAGGTGTAATAATTTGACCAATAAAAATCTAATCTAATCTATGCAAAAAGGTAGGGAGGGCACTCAGCTCTCACTTGTCGTTTCAATAACAAATTTTGTTGAAGTTGAACCTATTGATGAAGAACGGATGAGTCGGGTGAATTCACACGAAAATGTATGTATGAACACAAGCAACTATGTTGAGCCAATAAAAATTCAATATTGATAAATACTAAGATATCAGCTATGGAGATGGATACAGGGTCCGATATTTGTTATTTCAGAAGAAACCTTATGATTTCATGATTGTTAACTGATGCCAATTTTCGTACATTCAACTCCTTATGATGGCAACATTATTTTACCAAAGGAAAAAATATTTGCATTTAATTTTTCATAATCAATATCACGATGTTCTGAATATTCGAGATAATTCTATCGTTTCATTGTTCACGAAATTGTGTTGCCGAGCAAATCCAAAATATCAGGCAGTTATTATGAAAAAAAAGAACTATTTATGAAATATATTCGAAATCAACATACAAACATGCGAACATACAAACATACAAACATACAAACATACAAACATACAAACATACAAACATACAAACATACAAACATACAAACATACAAACATACAAACATACAAACATACAAACATACAAACATACAAACATACAAACATACAAACATACAAACATACAAACATACAAACATACAAACATACAAACATACAAACATACAAACATACAAACATACAAACATACAAACATACAAACATACAAACATACAAACATACAAACATACAAACATACAAACATACAAACATACAAACATACAAACATACAAACATACAAACATACAAACATACAAACATACAAACATACAAACATACAAACATACAAACATACAAACATACAAACATACAAACATACAAACATACAAACATACAAACATACAAACATACAAACATACAAACATACAAGCATACAAGCATACAAGCATACAAGCATACAAGCATACGAACATACGAACATACAAACATACAAACATACAAACATACAAACATACAAACATACAAACATACAAACATACAAACAAACATACAAACAAACATACAAACAAACAAACATACAAACATACAAACATACAAACATACAAACATACAAACATACAAACATACAAACATACAAACATACAAACATACAAACATACAAACATACAAACATACAAACATACAAACATACAAACATACAAACATACAAACATACAAACATACAAACATACAAACATACAAACATACAAACATACAAACATACAAAAATACAAAAATACAAACATACAAACATACAAACATACAAACATACAAACATACAAACATACAAACATACAAACATACAAACATACAAACATACAAACATACAAACATACAAACATACAAACATACAAACATACAAACATACAAACATACAAACATACAAACATACAAACATACAAACATACAAACATACAAACATACAAACATACAAACATACATACCATGCTAATATGAGCGTGTTGAAAAGCACCCTTAATTCATTTCTCCAATGAACATATATGGCAATAGCATTCCCTAAATTAGCCGTATTAAATAAAATCGACCTGTTAGAGTCTTTCCCGTTTGAAAAATGATTAAATTGTTCCATATTTCATATGGACACTATTTTCATTTCTGGCGTCCCAGCAGTGAAATACATTAATCTCAAAGCAAGCCTGAAGCATAGTTTTTATGTAAAATACTACTAATGATAAAATCAAATATATCTAATATCTGCAGCAATTGTTTCATCAAAAGTTTCCGGACATATATTGATGATGCAAAAACTACTCACGTTTTCCAACATTTTGAAATGCATTTCGGTCTGCTGAGCCACTTGCAAAGCTTGTTCAAGCTGTGAGGTCTTCATGTGACTGATTCTTTCTAACTGACTTTTGTATTGTCTTTCTTGTTGCTGAGCTGCTTCTAGAGTCTGTTTTAGTTGGTTTATTTTATCAAGATTCCTTCTCCTCTCCACTTCTAGTTGATTTTCTTGAGGCTGCATCATATTTGGCTGTTGGATATTCGGCTGGCTAGTATCAGGCTGAATTCCTGTGAACATATTTCATTCAACTAAAGAAAATGTATTTTAGTCGGAAGAGCAGAAAACATACCCTGATTGAATAAGTATATGATGTGAGGAAAATACTCGTAGAAATAATACCAAAGAATACTCAAACTCCAGATCAGGCATAAGCAACCTTACAAAATAGTATATTAGTTCACGAGTTACGATTGTAACATTTTTTGAAAAGAGAGAAGAGTAGTAATGTTCACGAGCTTCCAAAAATGTTTTCGGCGAGTGGACCTCTATACTGTTTCTACGATGCCGTTATATCATAATATTTTTACGATTTTATTTTGCTTTTTAAATGAAAGGTGAAAGAAATTATTCTGATTATAGAAACGATTCCTGTCTTTGTTTATTGAAAATTTAAAGAATTTATCTCACTTGCAACAAAAATCACGTTGCCGCTGAAGGTATTCTATTACAATCTGACGTCTTTTCGTGAAGGGTTGTAGAAAATTATCACAATTATGATTGACTTCTTTATTTTCATACACCCGGAGTTTACGTTGAAAAGATTTTACATGGAGGACACATGACAAAATTGTTCTTATTTCTGCATATTCGTATTCAGCTAGTTCAACTAATTGATGACAGTAACTAAAAACGCGAAATCAGATAACGATGCATCATGAAATGTTGCTCTCAACTCATATAATCGTTTCAACATCTTGTCCTTACTGTTCCAGCGAACTTTACAATGAAAAATGATTTCTCCATATCCCGTATGCAAAACCTGCAGGAATTGTTGGATTTTGTGGTGATTCAAATGTCTGATTTTATGAAATTCACACACGAAACAACTGTCTCCAGAACATCTCCAGAACAGATACTCTACTGATGAATAATAAAGTGAAATGTGAACAGAGAATTAATGTCAATATTTCTCCTTGATGATTCTGATCTGTGGCGACACTGCTCAACTTCCCCATCAGTTCAGATTGAGCATTGAAACCAACAAAATGTCTTCAAAAATGTTTTCTCTCCCCTTGTAGTACCTTTCAGGGCGCGCGGTGCGCGAAAAAATTTTCTGTTATTTTGAATTTCTGTCGGCTGCACGAATGAAAATTGCTAGTTATAATAGAAATATTAATACTTTTGCGATATGTCGAAAATGCAACAGATTTGTTCATAACGTCGCTAGAAATGACTTATTTTCTGCTACTTTCTTACTAATAATATATAAAAAAAAAGATCTAGTTGCGTCCGCTGGAACGTCCTATCATTGGCGGACCTTGCTTATATGAATAGCAAAAGTCAACCTTCAAAACATGATATATTATTTATTGTAAGGTATATAACAGAATACAGAGTGTAAATTTGAAAACTTTCAATGCGAATATCTCGCGAGATAAAAAAGTTAGAAAAACGCGCACAAATGCTGAAGTGTTGGAAAGAACTAGAACCACCATATTTGAGTGAAGGAATGAGTCACCCTGTCAGCGCGACACACCCCAACTTCGAAATTTCAAATGGCACTACCTCTTTTGTGATACCTCGAATGAAAGGTCTCAGTCAGTAGTATTCACCTGTACAAGACTTTTTTTCCACCCACTACAGGGTGTACGAAAAACGAAGTCGAGTGTCTAAATTTGAGAACTTTCAATGCGAATATCTCGCTAAATAAAAAAGTTAGGAAAACGCCGATTGGCACGAATGCTATAGAGTTAGGGGGAACTAGAACCACCATACTTCAGTAAAGGGATGAGTCACCCCGTCGGCGCGACACACTATATCTTTGAAATGGCAAATGTCACTACCTCTTTTGTGATACCTCAAATGAACGGTCTCAGTCAGTAGTATTCACCTGTACTTATCTTCCACCAACTACAGGGTGAACGGAAAACATAAAGTCGAATAAAATGAAATGCAGAATGCCGATATATTCCAAGAGATGTGTTCCAAGATGTTAGAATGGCATTTGAACATCGATTATACTATTGCCCACAACAGAATGGAATGCATTTTGAACATCTGATCAAATAAAATATCCTTTCAACACAATTCATTTCATTTTATTCAACTTCATATTTTTCGTACACCCTGTAGTGGGTGGAAAAATAGTCTTGTACAGGTGAATACTACTGACTGAGACTGTTCATTTGAGGCATCACAATAGAGGTAGTGCCATTTGACATTTCAAAGTTGGGGTGAGTCGCGCCGACGGGGTGACTCATCCCTTGACCGAAATATGGTGGTTCTAGTTCCCCTCAACTCTTTAGCATTTTTGCCAAACGGCGTTTTTCCAACTTCTTTCTTTCGCGAGATATTCGCATTGGAAGTTTTCAAATTTACACCCTGTATAAGAAAAATAATGATTTGAAGATGTACGTGGCGGCATCGCAAAGTTTCGTAGAAATCTACCTTTCTGAAATTAAAAACCAATTCCACTGTATTATTTTAACAGAAACGTGGAATATCCAAGATTTGAATATACATAAGCTAAATGGCTATGATATATTATACAACGAGGGAAAGATTGATAAATGTGATGGCGTCGTTATTTATGTACGAGAAGATCTTAACTATAATTTCGAAATAATTGATATAGGTATCTGTAGGGCTATTCAAATCACATTGAAAGTGGATAACAAAAACATACTTATAACTGGTTTATATCGACCACCATCAACAGATGAGAACTTATTCATCAAGAACCTTCGCATATACCTTTCCAGTATATCAAAACTCAATAGTGACATTCACGCATTCCTGGGAGATTTAAACTTGAACATCTTAGTAGAGGATGACTTGATAGCAGAATATTTGAACAATTTTTATGAATTTGACTATCACTCAGTCATTAACACTGAAACTAGACAAAAAAGTGGCACATGTGTTGATCACATCTTTGTTAAAAGTAGAGCAAATGAAACATTGCCAATTTTATTGAAAAGTGCTATAACTGATCACTATACCACGATAGTAAAATTACCTTTGAGCAATTTCAATAATACCGAAATAACTGAAACGAAACACCAAAAATACATTGATTATGTCTCTCTGAAAAAAGAACTAGCAGAGTATGATTGGTCTGATATCAACTCAATCGCTACTATAGATATTGATGAGACCGTTACTCGTTTCCTGCAAATCTTAAAAACAACTTTCAATAAGCACACACAAACGAAGGAAATAAAGCACAAAGATATCAAACGTAAACATTGGATCACACAAGGATTAGTAAACTCCATCAATACTAGGGACAGTTTATTTAGAAACCTGAAGAATTCTCGAGATGATCCAGTATTGAAAGACCAATATCTCAATTACAGAAACATGGTGAATAGGCTCATCAAAAATTCTAAAATCAACTTCTACAAGAAACGAGTAAATAAATCAGCGAATGACACGCAAGCGCTGTGGAAGACTGTGAGAGATATATCCGGTAACAAAAAAGATGTTAAAATAAAGTGCATAAAAAACCATATGGGTTGCCTTACATACGATGAAAAAGAAATCGCAGACTGTTTCAACAATCATTACCTATCAGTTGGCCGAAACCTTGCAAGCAAAATTCAGCAACCTGCAAATACTCGTCTAAAAAGAAATTGCTCTATGCAATCCATATTTCTCAGACCTACAACAGAAAATGAAATAATCAAGACGATAGAATCCTTGAAAATGAATAAGACTTCAGGTGTTGATGACATTAGAGCAGAATCATTGAGAGAGATAAAAACAGAAATAGCGGTTACTCTGTCTAATATATTTAATAAAGTAATAGAAACTGGAATATTTCCCAAAGAATTAAAAATAGGTGTAATCAAACCGATTTACAAAAAAGGAAATGAACAGGAAGTTTCGAACTACAGACCAATAACTTTGATCTCCAACATAGCAAAAACACTAGAAAAAATTATAAAAATTAGAATAATAACTTATCTGGATAAACATAAAATTATCTCTGGCAATCAATTTGAATTTAAAGAAGGAGTATCAACTCAAGATGCTATTCGTTTCCTTACCTCAAAAATATCTGAAAATCTGGAAAATAGTAGACCGTCTTTATGTGTATTCTTAGATCTTGCCAAAGCCTTCGACACTGTTAACCACTCACAGCTGCTGGAGGCCTTGCAAGACATGGGTTTCAGAGGAAATGCATTTAGCCTAATGGAAAGCTATCTAGGTGACAGGGAACAATGCGTTAAAATTGATAAAGTCATGAGTGGAAAAGGTATTGTAGAGTGCGGGGTACCCCAGGGAACAGTTATGGGACCAATTCTTTTCACAATCTATATCAACAGTATACTTGAATATGATTCCACTGGAATTCCTGTTTGCTTCGCTGATGATACTGCCATAATGTATAGTGCTGAGAGCTGGGACGAACTAAAAACTAAAGCGGAAAGGGACATTAACAAACTCTTTGACTGTTTCAATGAAAAATTACTTTCCATTAACTATGATAAAACTTTCTACGTACCATTCTCATGTTATGTAAACTCACTACCCCAATATGATACACTAGAAATCACGGATGACATAGTCATACAATCAACAGAAAAAATTAAATATCTGGGAGTGGTGATTGATAGACATCTGAGATGGAATTTCCATGTCGACCAAGTAGCGAAAACGTTACGGAGTATTATTTATAGATTCAAGTACCTAAGGAATATTTTAGACACAACGCAAATGATAAAAATTTATTATGCACTCATAGAGTCCCGGCTAACATATGGAATCTTGGGTTGGGGTGGTGTAGCACAATCATACTTAAAAAAACTCGATGTCTTACAAAAAAAGTTCTTGAAAATTGTCTTCAATAAATCAATTACGTACTCTTCATATGCACTATTCAAAGAATCTAAAATGCTAGATCTCAGACAATTATATTTTATCAAAGTGGTTAACGAACAATATAAAAACCGAAGAAACCTAAATTACATAAATCACACGTATAACACAAGACATGAGGCAAATGCATCTGTTCATACAATGCTCTCCACAAAAACTATAGTCCAGAGAACTTATAATTACC